TACCAGCTGTTCTGCGGGAGAAAGATGAGGCTTTCTGCTCCCGTAAAGATTTACAGCCTCGGAAACCCTGTACAGGGTCGCTATTGGTCGGAACTAGCTCCATGGCACATAACCACCACCACCACACATACTCACACATCTCTCTCTGTCTCTCCCTTACACACACACACACACACACACACACACACACAGACTTTAAAAGGTGATGCTCTCAGTTTTTGTTGCTTTAAATAACAATTTTTGTCATCTTGATACAAATAAACTTCCTGTTTTTTGTATGTTTTGTTTTTAATAAAGGAAAGTGAGTATAAGTAACTCACCTTCAGGGGGTTCACTCACATAGTATCTTGGAGTTGGATCATGCACACAACCTACCCAGGTGTGGTCACTTTAAGGGACACAGAGCAGGCAAGCAAGCAAATAGGCTGTTGACCCTTGCTCTTCCTGCATTGCTAAAATAAGGATGTTCAGGACTTGGGGCAGAGAGTGGAAGACTTTGGTGTCTTCCTCTTGGACAGGGTCGACTTCCCCTTCTTTCCCCTTCAAATCTCTTTCGAGTAACTCCCTGCCCCGCCTCCCACTGCACACAGTGCCCTTCCTAAGTGAAGAGGTCCCTTTTTTTATAGAACAAGTCTCAAATCTTAATGGGGACAAAAAACACAACAATAGCTGTAAATCCTTAAGTATGAGAGAGAGGGGAGAAGAAGGAGAAGAAAAAGGAGGGAGGGGACAGGCTTGTTCACTTAATGACTGTTTTCCACAAGGCTGTTTTCCTATTTCTACATTCCTGCTCTCTGGAATGACTGGGCCTCCCCTTATGGCCAACCTCCCACCCCTTTTGCTTATTTTCCAACTCAGTTATGATTTCCTTCCTTCTTTTAAAATATTTCTTAAGTCATTTCCATGGGCCCTGCTGGTGGGGAGACATGGCTTCCAATTCCCATAAGGAATATCTGAATCAGGTCCTACTTAACAGCTCTAGCCTTGTTGAAGAAGTGAATAGCAGGTGCTTTTCATTCCCAAAGGGCCAGAATTCAGACTGGGATGACTTCTGCTGTTGGTGCATGGTGCTGACATAGTGTGACTAAGCCAGGGTCTCAGGGAGTCACATACACCAGGGAAGGTGTCACCCTCGCCCTGCCATCCACAGTCAGCCAGGGATATGTGAGGATGGTCAGGAAGAGCTGTGTTATACATATAGGCCATAACCCAGGACTGATTAAAAAAAATAACAATAAAGATGTTTCTGCCCATCCCAGCTAACTGTAAGGTCGGAAGTTCAAACTCACCAGCCATTCCAAGAGAGAAAGATGAGACTTTCTGCTCCCATAAAGATTTACTGCTTCAGAAACTCTATAGGGTCGCTGTGAGTCAGAATGAACTCAAAACAACTGAGTTTGGGTTTGGGGGACTGTTAAGGACACAGCAGAGTGAGTTCTGGGATTTGGATCTCAGCTCTTCCCTCACTCAGCACCTATATGACTTTGGACGAGTCACTAAACCTCTGAATTTGTCTTCTCATCTATGAGGTTGTTTTAAGAATTAAATATCATGATCCATTTAAAGGTATTTAGCACCATACCACATGGCAGGTAGTAAGCCCTGGATAAATGTTACTGTTACTATGTGAAAGAAGCCCTTGTGGCACAGTGGTGAAGTGCTCCACTGCTGACTGAAAGACTGGTGGTTTGAACTCACCAGCTGCTGGAGACAAGGTTATGTGCATTATTGAAGATTTCTGTCCTATAGAATTGCTGTGGGTCTGAATTGACTTGTCAGCAATGAGTTTGGTTTGCTTTTAGTTTAGCATGGGACACAGTACAAAAGCTGTAATGGAAATAATATGGAGACAATGCTGTCAAAGTAGAGAGCAAGTCATAGGCATTTCAAGAACACAGGGTTCATCCAGGAACCTTTACGATGAGGCTGTAGGTAGCCTAGCTTCAGACAGTGAGCTAAGCACAACTTCCTTCCAAGTTCTGGTTCTTTGGGTTCCACCCCTTGCTGAGAATTTGTATTTCCATTCCAGATATACTGAGTCAGAATCTACAGTTGAACAAGATCCTTATGATCTTGTTATCTACAGATCTATAAGCATCACCTGGGGATCTTGTTCAACTGCAGATTCTGATTCCAGTATATCTGGGTTGGAAATGCCAATCTTCAGCACCAGGTGGAACTGAGTGAACAGGTTGGAAGGCCCTGAGTTAAACCGGAAGTTTTAGCACCAGGACTGTTAAAGGATTTACACAGAGTAGCAACAGCCTCACGATCCCTGCATGGCACTGTAGGATAAGCACTGGGCTCATAACTTCAAGGTCAGCAGTTCAAATCCAAGAGCCACTGTGAGTCGGAACCGACTCCGTGGCACTTAACTAGAGCAACAGACTCAGATTGGCATTTTAGAAGGGTCACCCTTGGCAGCTGCATGGAGGGCAATTAGGAGCATCCAGACAGAGGATCACCAACAAGGAATATTGAAGCGAGATGATTCTGACAGCAGTGGGAGTAGGAGATACCCACGAACAGAATTTAGGCTTTAGAAGAATCGGGGCAGATAACTTGAAAGTCTGAGTAGTGAGAACGCCATACTCTGGCTTGGCACACTGTTCCCTGTGCCTTCAATGCCTTCCCCACTAGCCATTCATCATTCAGCTCAAGCTTCGCGAACAGGTCAACGGTGCCTGCTCTGGGTTTCTGTTTTTAGCATTTGACACTCCTTTGTCATTCCGGGATCCGCCTACTGGTCTGAATTCAGTGAGGATTGGGGTCAGCCTCCATCATCTATGCACACGCATGGCATGGGCGGAGTCAGTAACTGTTTGTTGAATGAGTCAATGAAAACAGAACTTTAGCGAACCTAGGGGGAAGCTATGGAGTCCTGTTGTGGCGCTGTGGGCTAATACATCAGACTGCAAAGTCGTTTGAACTGCAAGTTTGGTGGTTCAAACTCATCAGCTGCTCCTTGTAAACCCTATACGGAGTCGCTGTGGGTCAGATTGACTCGACGGCACTTAACAAAAACAACAACAAGGGGAAAGCTGGAGGAGTTAACAGAAAAAGAAGGACATTTCTGGGAGACTTACTGAGAGTCCAGATCCCTGCTGACATCTACCTTTTATAACTCCAAATCTGTTTTGGAGTCGCTACCTACAAGGTCTGTGCCTTCCAGGAACTTGAAACCGAATGGGGCGAGGAACTACATAGCAAATTGCACAATTTGTTGTTAAATGCGGTCGAGTCCGCTGTGTACAAATCTCTTGCCCACTGTGACAGAAGCCCCGCCTCTTCTGCCTTAGACTCCGCCTCTCCATTTTCTGCAGTCGGCTGTCGGAGACAGATGGCTACGCCCATGAGGCCGCATGCGCAATACTTGCACGCGGTCTCTTTTGCCCTTCTCTCAATGGCGGGCGGCGGACCTCTTCCCGGCAGCCTCCCTGGGGCTGAGAGCGCGTCATTTCCGGTAGGGAAGGCCCGCGGCCGCCGCCGCCATTTCGGGCGCTGCTGTGAGGCTGAGACCTGAGCCGGTCCGCTGGGCGGCGGGCACCGAGGCTGGAGGGGCGTGCGCGGCGGCGGCGGCCCAGCGTGTAGGCGTGGAGGCGGCCATGGCGGGCAACTTCGACTCGGAGGAGCGGAGTAGCTGGTACTGGGGACGGTTGAGCCGGCAGGAGGCGGTGTTGATGTTGCAGGGCCAGCGGCACGGGGTGTTCCTGGTGCGGGACTCGAGCACCAGCCCCGGGGACTATGTGCTCAGCGTCTCTGAGAACTCCCGCGTCTCCCACTACATCATCAACAGCAGCGGCCCGCGCCCGCCGGTGCCGCCGTCGCCCGCCCAGCCTCCGCCCGGTGAGGGACACACGGGACGGGAGGCCCCGGGCGTGGGTGAGGGCCGCGGAACTCTCCAGTCTGGCCGGCTGCTCTTCTCGACCCTTACGAGGGTGGTGGGCAGAGGGCTGAAGTGACTGGGGCAATGTGCAGCCTACTGCCCGAGCTCGTTCCCACCGAAAAGCGGGAGTGTGTGGGGGAGGAGGACCGAGGCCTCTGGGTGTGACTTGGGAGGACGGCCCAGGGGAAGGGGAACTGCTTCGGCCCAGGGTGGGGCTAGCGCCGGGGAAGGCTGCAAGGGTAGGGCCGGTCAACGTGGGCACAAAGAGCTGAGGGGGATGTTGGCACTGCGGGGCATCGTTTGGCAGCGGTACCCAGAATGTGTTCGGTAATCCTACAAGTGCTTTAGGCTGAAAACACTTCCTGTAGTGTTGAAGAGCCGGGTTTGGTCACCCTCCCCTGGTGGCCTTTGATAGGAAGTCACCCCATATTGGCCGGGAGGGTTGGAGACACCCTCAGGAAACAGGTCAGCTTTTTCCTTTCTTGGGCATTTTTCCAAAATTCTTTTACCGTCCTCTTCCTCCGTGGAGGACGAAGGGAATGAACTAAGTGCCTTGGTGATAGAAGACAAAGTCGTCTTAAGACGAGCCCAGAACAAGTTGATGCTTGGCTGACTGTCCAAAAAAAATCTTAGTGGCCAGAAGACTACCCTCAGCAAGTAGGAGGTTTTGGTTTTCAAGGTGCTTAGTGAAAAAATGATTATTTAGAAATCAATGGAAACAACCCATCCCCTAAAAGTGAATGGGTTTCATTTCTCCTTGAACTTGTATGTACTTCAGGGCCTCTCTTTGCTTAGTAACTTGTAATTTGAGTCTTCATGGAAATGAGGAGCAAAGAAAGCCAGGTGGATTCTCTTGAGTGCACTAGGTCTTCCTTCCCAAGATGGCTTGGGGGATTTGTGCACTTAGTACTTGAGAGTTGTAATTCTGAGGTTATCATTTCTGTGTCACAGGACCAAGAATCTTAATGTCTTCTCCCTTTTTCCCAAAGTGAAGTAAGTTTCCTCCTGAGCAGCTGAGACTAGATCTAAGCCATTGAATTAGCTACTGAGCCAACCTTTACAGACTTGCTCTTTTAGGATAATCCTATTTGAAAGTGATGGACTCTGGCAAGAAATAGGGAGACAAGATAGGGAGTCTCTTTGCTGTTAACACATAACCAATTAAAAAAAAATGTATATGAAGTCTTTAAGTCTTTAGGTCTTTCTCAGTCTGGTTGATTTAATAGCATTATAACATGACTTGGGAATTTTGATGTCACATATATTTACCCCAAACTATATATATCCTACTTTGATGCCACCTGCATGGTATGGTATCAAAAGTTTTATATCACATACATGGTGGCAAACGCTTTGAAATTCAGTTCTTACCTTTTGTTGGTGCGTACAATTTGTTGTTTGTAAAATTTGGAAATGACAGCAGACTGCTTTGTTTGAAAGTTCCCCACACCTTGACGTTGTGATTTTATTTCTCAAAGCTCGATTGCTATAGAACTCCACCTTTTCACAACAGATAAGAGTTTAGATCATTGGCCCTGGAGAGAAGGTGAAGATTGCCAAAGTTTGTGGATGGGGTGTGGAAAGTTCACTGGCATTGTGGTAATGCTGCTCTCTGCAGTGTACTCCATTTTCTGCGCAGGGTCATTGATTCAGCTACTGCTTTTGTAAAGATGACTTCATTTTTGTCCTCCTGTCCATCAGCTCTTCTTTTGAAACCATGCAGAGAAATTTTCTTGAATTTTAGAGAGGCACATGCAAAATTAATCGCTGGCATTTATTGATTGCTTAGTCTATGCCAGGTACTTTGCTGAGTACACTATGTGCATTATCTCATTTACCTTCTGTAACAGTTCAGTGAGGTACTTACCATAGGACGTAAGTACGTTTATCTCCATTTATTAAAATATTTCCATTTCATAGATGAGGAAACAAAGTCAGAGATTTAGTAACTTGTCTAAATTCTCACAGCTAGTAAGTGAGCTGGTATATGAACACAGGCATTCTGACCTGAGAGCTGTTACTGTGTTCCTTTCTGTCAAAACTGTTCTCCTTTTGTGATCCTGTTGTTGCATATAAGGAGCTCTGGTAGTGTAGTAGTTATGAATCGGGTTGCAAACCGCATGGTCAGCAGTTAGAAACTACCCGGGGTTCCGCGGGAGAAAGATGAGCTTTCTGCTCCCGTAAAGATTTACAGCCTTGGAAACCCTGTACAGGGTCGCTATGAGTCGGAACCAACTCCATGGCATATAACAACAACAACAATTGGTGCACATAAAGGACTACCCTCAACACTTTAGTTTGCTTTAGAGTTCTTGGTTCTGTTCAAAGACCAAATGGAAAGGATGGTAAGATGAAAACTGGCTTTAGCCCAGTATACATAAAGAAGTGCTTACGAACCTTATTTGGTAAATTAAATATGGGAAATGAGCTTTTTGTTTAGGATTACATGGTGTATTTCATGCATATAATACATAGATAAAATTCATATGGAATGACTTAAATATAGCTGTTGGAGGCTTAGGGATAGAGTAGGCCAGGGATTCTCAACCTTTTCTATTGAACTTACTTTAAATTTATTTGAAGTGTTCTTTTCTTAGAGGCTATGTTACTGTTGCCTAGGAGGGCCCAGGGGCCTTAAGAGGAAGGGTTGGGTCATGTCTCCTGGTCATATTGGGTTAGGTGAGGAAGGCCTGCAATAATTAATCCACTGAAACATTGATGGACTTCTAGACCTTGACCAGTATGCTGTCAACAAAACTTAGTGTGAGTTAGGAGAGTAATGAGCGTGGGCTGTGGAGTTTGGGTTTGAATCTTATTTACCTGCCACTTACTGATTGTATAAATTTGGGCAAGTTATTTAACTTCTCTGCCTCAGTTTCATTACCCGTAAAAGGAAAAACAATAATACTTAACCTTGTAGGACTCCTAGTGTGGCGCTGTAGGATCAGCACTGGCGTATGAACCATAGCATCATCTGTTCAGACCCACCAGCTAATTCTTGGAAACCCTATACAGGGTTGCTCTGAGTTGGAACTGATTCAACAGCACTAAACAACAACAAATAGGTTTGTGAGGATTAAATGAGTTTTAAGTGATGAAGATCAAAGACCACAGTCTTCAATATTGGTTGCATCTTATATAAAGAAAACAAAAATCCTCACCACTGGAGCAGTAAATACCAACATGACACTGTGGGCTAATGCGTCAAACTGCATAGTCATTTGAACTGCAAAGTCAGTGGTTCTAGCTCACCAGCTGTTCCTTGGAAACCCTATACAGGGTCGCTATAGATCGAAATCGACTCGATGGCACTTAAAAACAACAGATGGTGAAAAGATTGAAGTTGGGAAGACTTCATTTTGCTCAGATCAACCATCAACACTCACGGAAGCAGCAGTCAAGAAATCAAATGACATATTGTATTAGGCAAATCTGCACAAGATCTCTTTAAAGTGTTGAAGAGCAAAGATGTCAGCTTGAGGACTAAGGTATGCCTGACCCAAGCCATGGTATTGTCAATAACCTCATATATATGTGAAAGTTGGACTAAATAGGGAAGACTGTAGACGAATTATGCATTTGAGTTATGGTATTGGAGGAGAATATTGAAAGTACCATGGACTACCAAAAGAACAAACAGATCTGTGTTGGGAAAAGTACAGCCAGAGTGCCCCTTGGAGGCCAGGATGGACAAACTTTGTATCACATTTTGGACATATTGTCAGGAGGGACCAGTCACTGGAGAAGGATACCATGTTTGGTAAAGTGGACGGTTGGAGAAAAAGGAAGACCCCCAACAAGATGGATTGGCACAGTGGCGACTGCAGTGGGCTCAGCCTTGAAGTTGGCCCAGGACCAGGCAGTGTTCTGTTCTGTTGTGCATGGGGTCGCTATGAGTTGGTACTGACTTGATAGCACCTAACAACAACAATAAGTATCAAATGCCTAGAAATGTGCCTGGTATATAGTAAGCATTCAGTAAATATTAGATCTATTAATCGTGTGAGTAGACTGTAAGATGGGGAGAGTTGAAGCTAGATGGAAACTGCTCAGCTTTGAGGTGTTCACAAAGGCACGTACTCTGTGGGTCTGTGAGCAAAGGTAAAGCAGCATGTTTTAACGGGCGAAGTGCTGGGCTGGAAGGAGTGGATGACCTTGGTGGGTCCAGTACAAGAAAACAGGATGGTGCTTGTTGCTGCTGTTCCTAGTGGGTGCAGGAAGCATTAACTTGCCTCTTTGGGGAGTTGGCGGGCAAGAGCTAGGGTGCTAATTGTTTGCAGTGGCTCTTCAATATTGTGCTGAACCAAGCCACTTCTCTGGAGGTAGTGTGGGACTGCTGATTACATATGACTGTCTTTTTGCACCTTTTTCTGTAGTTCACAAACCTGGTCTTAATGTCTTATTCGCCCGCTCTGGACTTTGCTCTTCAGTGTCAAGGTATCTGTCCACCCAGTGACTTTTGGAAAAATTCTCTGAGTTACTCATGGGTTTTATACTGCCCCCTGTCCCACACAAAGAAAAAGGACTAGTTTTGTTGTAGGACTTCTCCAAGCCTTTGCTGTGCTCATATGAATTATGATCCTCTAAGAGAGGTAGCCACTGGATGGTGGGCTTTTGAATCTGTGCTTGGTGTACAGAACTTTGGAGAAGCATCTTGAGGTTCTGTGGAATCTTCTCTGGGAACAGTAGCAGACTCTGGATTCTGGTTTAAAAATTTGTGAAGGAATTCAGAGGTTTGAGGGAGCTATTAAACTGAAGTTGATTTTTGTTAGGCACCGTTAATATGCCAGTCACTGCTAGGAATTTTATTAAATACGTATTTGGCCCAGTTTTACAGAATGAGAGGCTGAGGTACAAAGAGGTTAAATAACAGTTCATAGACTCCATACAATAAGCACTGGAATGTGAACCACAGGTCCACGGTTTGACTCACCAACTGTTTCCCTGGAGAAAGATGAGGCTTTCTGCTCCTTTGAAGATTTAACACCTCTATGTAGGAAACAATATAGGAGCTCTGGTAGCGTAGTGGTTACGAATCGGGCTGCGAACCTTAAGGTCAGCGGTTCGAAACTACCAGCCGCTCCGCGGGAGAAAGATGAGGCTTTCTACTCCCGTAAGGATTTACACCCTCGGAAACCCTGTACAGGGTCAGAACCGACTCGACGGCACTTAACAACAACAACAACAACATATAGGAAACAATATAGAGGTCTTGGTGTGGCACTGTGGGCTAATGCGTCAGACAGCAAAGTCATTTGAATTGCAAAGTCAGTGGTTCAAGCTCACTAGCTGCTCCTTGGAAACCCTATACAGGGTCTCTATGGGTCAGAATCGACTCAACGGCACTTAACAACAATATATAGGAAACTGTACAAGCTCGATATGAGTCGGAACCTACTCAACAGCACTTAACAACAGCTGTATAGCAGCAGACCATACAACTTGTCAGCCTGAATCTGCAAGGATCATGTTTATATCATTTTTAGAAAGTTCTATTTGCTTTGGAGAACCAGGCATCTTGATACCTCTTTAGGATGCTTTCCTCAGATGGAAATCAGCAAGCCTTTTTGTATTGGACAAGTGGTGAGGGTTATGTATCTAGACAACCTCTTAAATACCATAGATAGGGTAGAGGAAATAGAAGGTGTGGGAATTAAGGAAAGAAGTGGGAAATGTTATGAAATCTAGGAGAGACTGATGATGGAGTCACTGGTGGTACCCATGCAGAAGTCATCTGCCCTCTTCTAGTCCCTGGAGTACTCCAGTGTTCTTACAGCCTTCAAGGAAGTGGGATTGTGAAAACTGAGGGCAGAAATGCTTAGAAGTAATGACTTGAGGAGGTACTTAGGAATCAGAATACCGAACTACTTGTATTGATTGTCATTTCTGAATGTGTTGGTTCAAAGTAGCACATTCAGAATTCACAAAGTTGATGTAGAAGTCAGGTTTCCTAAGTCCCAGATAGCTATGAGAACCCTGTTGTTAAGTTCTGTTCTCTAGCCTGACTGACTGTATCTCCTTCCTTTCCCGCTCTTCTATTTCCTGCTTTTGGCTGTTTGTGGTTGGAAGGAGATGAACCAGGGAAAAGGAGCCGGAACACATAGCTGTGGTGAGGTTTGGGCTTATCTGGGACTTATGTACAAGTATGTTCTATTCTCTTCCCTTCTTCTGGAGTTTGAATCAATGATGCCTGATTCCTCCAGTATTTAACCGCCCCAACACAGCAGGCATTTCTCTGGAATTAATGTGTCATTAGAACAAAAATAATTTCTGTATAAAGTATGTCTTAAAACCTTGGTGTTTTGCTTCTGTTTGTGTTGGGATTGCTAGACCAGACACAGAAAAACGTTACATTGGGCCCAGTTCAGATTATGTGGAACAAGGAATGAAAGTAACCAATTACCTACCTTTGTACCAGATGAACTGCCAATTTTCCTCTTTCACTGATCTTTCTAAGGGACTGGTAATCTTTTTTGTTCTTTTAAGCCTCCTCCCTGTTTCTGGCCCTCAAAACCATATTTCACTTGGGCTAGTATAGTCATGGAGGAACCATAACAATGGATGACTAGAAGTGGTTGCCTGCCTTATAGTGAAAAAAATTCCTTGGAAATGTTCAGGATATGTGGTCAGAGCTGCTCTTGTGATTTTGTATCTCAGCCCACTGTTGTGGTGTTTTTTTGTAAGAACACATCTCTAGTGGCAAATGAAAACCAGAAAAAAAAATGTCTAAGACATAGTGCTTTGCTGTTTGTTTATCAACTATGCTTTTCATGCCTTCATATCCCGAACTATATTGTGAGCTTCCTAAAGCAGGGACAGATTTTCAGTTTGTTTTTTCCTCACTTCAGAATTCTATTCGTTAATATCTAACATATAACTGAGCACTTAACTGTCTGCCAGCCATTGTTCCAGAAGGAACAGTAGTAAAAACCATTTGGGATAAATTCCATCCTGATGGATACTCTTTTGTAAGGCAGTTACCACTCTGCCCTCAAAACTGTCTTGACTAGATAATGCTAAATAGGTCTACATGGAGCTCACACTGACCCTGTCCTTAACATGATTGCTCGCTTTGGAGGCTTTGTCTGAATTAGCCTAATGGTAATAGGCTAGATGCTGTGCATCTCCTCAGTGCATATTAATTTGAATAGGAATAGTACCCATCCTGGTGTGGCACTGTGGGATAATGCACTGTACTAAAAGGTCACTTTGAACCACAAGGTCAGTAGTTGTAACTCACCAGCTGTTCCTATTATGAGTCTGAACCATAATCTTTCTGCTCCCTTGAAGATTTAACACCTCTATATAGGAAACAATATAGAGGTCTTGGTGTGGCGCTTTGGGCTAATGCATCAGACAGCAAAGTTGACAGCACTAACACAATATCCCAGTAGTGATCCACCTCAGTCGAGAGACTCGAGAATACAACACCATTGTGCTCTCCTATGGCCCTAACTAAGTCATCTCTCCACTCCTATTTTGGAACAAATGGGGTCACTTTCTGTTGCTACCTGATGGAAGTATTTGCCATAGATGGATAGTCACAGGTCTGGGCATTTAGGTCAGTGTTTTGAATTGAAAGTCAGCCAGCATTCCTGAATTTGGACTGTTAACTTGTTCCAGTTTATAGCTGTAAATACCACAGAAGGACTTTTGGCAATATAAGAAATGTTTTTTATTTACTAATGTTAAAATGCAACTGCCCTTTAAATTGTATCTTTTGTTTTTCATCATTCATTTAAGTGGAAAGAGAAGACATAGAGGACTGGATTCAAAAGTTGATCTTATTTTTTCAACCGTATCCCGTAGGGATCTGAATTTTAAATGCACTTTTTCTGGTCAATCTGGAAGAAGTACTTTTTTGTTAGGCATTATTTGAGAGTGGCAAGTTAGTCTCGATACCTGGCTTCACAGAACAAATGACTGACTTTTAGATAGATGGGGGACAGTGTCATCTTGTTAACAGCACTGGAGAGGCTAGATTGGACAGAGACAAATAACTCTCAAAAAAAGTACAAATAGGCGATAAATATGAAAACTTTTTAAAAATTGAACATGGTATTTAAGAAAGGTAACGTTTTCTTAATAAATTGGCAGTGGAAACAAGAACTCAGAAACTGATGGTAGGAGTGTAAAGTATACAGGTTTTTTAGGGCAATTTGCGTTAAGCTTTAATGTTCTTACCCATTGATCCAGTAATTAGTTTTCAAAGGCTTTGTCTTAAGGAAGTACCAAAAAATGTTCATTAACAGGTAAGAACAAGAATGCTCATAAAAGAGTTTCTTGCAATACTGAAAAATTGAGACTACTTTATAGCCACTAAAAATCATGTTCTTGAAGAAAATTTAAAGGTAATGGGGAAACTTTAATTTTACAATATGGAAAAAGAAAGATATAAAATGGTATACAGTTAAGTAACATCTTGTTGATTTTTGACTCAGTGCCCCTGTGTAGGGTTTCTGAGGTTGTATACAGTAACCCAGTTAAAAAAGACATGTATGTGTCTAGGACATAACCTAAAAATGATGAGTGGTACTGTGGGTAGGGCTAATGGTAATAAAAACAGAATACATTATTTTATTGTTAAGGCGTTCATGTCGGTTCTGATTCATAGCATCCCTGTAAGGTTTCCAAGGCATTAAATTGGGAGCAGAAAACCTCATGTGTCTCCTAGGGAGCAGCTGGCAGATTCTAACTGTAGATCTTGTGGTTTGCAGTCCGTTGCTTATCGGATAGAGCCACTGTTCTCCCCATTACTTTATTAGGAAAACAAAATATAGAAAAGTCCAGTGAAGATGATTTGATATTTGAGAGCTTAGCAGAGTGCCAGTTAAAGATTTGTATTCCTCATTGAAATGTTTTTACTTATTTGAATTGATATATGTTCATTTATTATCTTTGCCTTCTAAAGGTTTAGGGTAGATATTGAAGTAAACTTCTGTGTCCAGGAACATACACACCTTTCTGTCATAGTAATTTTCATTATTCCTACTATGTCTTTTCTTTTGGACCCTCAGATTCAGTATTTTAGCATTTACTTTTCCGAGCATCCTTGTTTATCCTTGTTCATGACCTGTTTCTTCTTAGAGAACAATCTGACTTCCATGTTTTATTAAAGTGAAGGCTTTTGCAATTGATATTTAAGCTGTTAGCCTCGTAGTTTCTCTTTCTGGGGTCCTTGGTTCTTTTGCCTAATTCATCTTTTTTAGCTGTCAGAGATGAAATTGAGATCAACAATCTTAGGTAAAAGAGTCTTCTAATATGCAGTTCCTCATTCTCGATGTGCAGTGGATGTAGGTACCTAGTGTAGATACTAAGCTTTCCCTACTTGCTCCTGGAACAGCTCCTGGGTCCTAAGAAAAAGAGCTTGCTACGTTTCATAAGGTTGAAAAGATTACAACAAAACCTTGGATCTTAGGATACTCTAAAAATGAGATAGTAGCAAAACATTGGGAGAATGAACCAAAAGGCCCCATGTTGCACATCCTTTGACCCTGACGGGCCTTCTGTTCCTTCCCTGTGTTGGGTAGTAATGGGCATCTTTCTTCCCAGCTAGATAGTGTGTTTCTGTTTGATATGAAGAGATTCTTTTTACCTAGACAGGTGGTGGGTGGTTGGTTTCTCTTAAATATTGACTAAAATGTGTGTGATAAGTGCTAAAAATCTATATTTTGTTTCTAATATAGTACATCCTTAAATAATACTCTACTTTATTTTTTCCAGGGGTGAGCCCTTCCAGACTCCGAATAGGAGATCAAGAGTTTGATTCATTGCCTGCTTTACTGGAATTCTACAAAATACACTATTTGGACACTACAACGTTGATAGAACCAGTTTCCAGATCTAGGCAGGGTAGTGGAGTGATTCTCAGGCAGGAGGAGACAGAGTATGTTCGAGCCCTCTTTGACTTTAATGGGAATGATGAAGAAGATCTTCCCTTTAAGAAAGGAGACATCCTGAAAATCCGGGATAAGCCTGAAGAGCAGTGGTGGAATGCAGAGGACAGCGAAGGCAAGAGGGGGATGATTCCAGTCCCTTACGTCGAGAAGTATAGACCTGCCTCCGCCTCAGTATCGGCTCTGATTGGAGGTAACCAGGAGGGTTCCCACCCACAGCCACTGGGTGGGCCGGAGCCCGGGCCCTATGCCCAACCCAGCGTCAACACTCCGCTCCCTAACCTCCAGAATGGGCCCATTTATGCCAGGGTTATCCAGAAGCGAGTCCCTAATGCCTACGACAAGACAGCCTTGGCTTTGGAGGTACATAATGTGCAAAATGTAGAAAGAAGAGACCTGCTGCAGGGTCTCCCTTTCAGACCTCTTAGAGCTTTGTAGGAATGCTGAATACCAGCAACAGCACTGTGATGATGTTGAACTGATTTTGGCATTAAATGTTGGGTTTTCTCTCTCTCTCTTTTTTTTTTTTATAAGCCTATTTTAGAATAAGCTTAAATCTGTATAGTTGAATGTTTTGATTGATCTACTAAACATCCTTTGACTAATAACACTACCTGAATTCATAGGAATTAACCTAAAGCACTGTGCCTCATCTATATCCTAATCTGTTTCTTTCTATTTGTCATTGTTTAAAAGAAGGTGGGTTAACACAAATTTGAGTATAATAAGTGGTTTCTATCAAAGTATTAAAGTAAAGTTTTCTCACAAAACAGACTGCGCATCAGAGGGCATGAGATTTCTTATCATTAATTGCATTGGTTAGATAAGAATTAAGAAACAGGCAGGTTTGAAGAGGTCCATACTCAAGTATTATTTCTAAGGAGCAACAGATTTACTTGTTTTTTGTTGTTGAATTCATTTTACAGGCAAGAAGCCAGTTCCTCCTGAATAATATTTGTTTTTTTACTTGCTAGTCATTATCATTCTGAAGCAGTTTTAAATATTTACAGGAGCAGAAAGCCTTATCTTTCTCCCAGGGAGCACCTAACATGTAACCTACTATGCCATCAGGGATGTTAATCACAAGGCTATCAGTTCAGATCTACTAGGCGCTCCATGGGAAGAAGATGAAGCCCTCTACAGGATCTCTATGAGTTGGAACTGACTCGGTAGCACACAGCCATCCACCCAGTTATTGTTGGTAGCACATCTTCTGGCTCACCAGAAGTTACAAATTGTGTTTATTTGCTCCTTTAGTTTGTTTCTTTTTTCCTTCCTATTTTCTTGAGTTATTTAGATTTAGTTATTAAGCATGAAAACTAGAACAGAAGTGATGATGTTATCCCATCTTTTAGAGTTTACTTATATGGTGACTTGAATGTAAGAAAGTAGCTGTCATAACAAAAGGGTGAAGTTATGTGGGAACAGATTGTCATAGGATGAACAAAAATGTATTCTTGTTTTGACGAATAGGAGATTCCCCCATAAATAAGTGTTAGCCCACAGAATGGGCTAGAATTTATTTGAACCAATCTCTAATATTAACACATTTGACCACATTTGAATTTTTTTAAGGTTTTGGTCTAGTGGATATAAAGGAGGATTGGTTGAGTCTTAACGGGTGTGACTAAAGAATGTGTATTTTTAACAATTGTAGTTTTTGAGGTAATTTTGTGACTTAAAAATAAGTTCTTGTTTTGATTAATAAATCCACCATTTGCTGTCTAGGCCACTGTACTTTTCCTGTGTAGAGTTTGGAAGATAAAAGCAATCGAAGTTTCTAGCCTCATGCTTTCATGTCAGTTTAGTGCTGTGCACATGACGAATGTGACTCTGGACTTCCATTGCAGACCTTGTTAACACTGGGCTGGGATGTGAAAGTGACAGTTAATACCCAGGAAAGAATAGTTGTCTCCTTCATTTTGCTTCCATTTGCATTTCCTTTCTCAAAGAGAATTGTTTTTAATGATGCCTGTCTTGAATATTGAGGCTTCACTGCTCAAAAATGGTTGAGCTTTTCTCCCTACTGTGAAATAACAAATATTGTGAAATAAAGATTTAAGTAGAAAACTAGTTTATGATTTCAGTAAACTTTTTGGTTTGCATATATTGGTTTTCAGCCACATAACACTTATTGTGGAAGATGGCCTCTTTCATTTTAGAGCCAGTGCCCCTAAGTGATAGCTTTAAAAAGAACAACAGGTGTTAACTTAGCATCTGAGAGTTGAAGAGCTGGAAAGCACTTCAGACATCTTTACCTAAAGTATGGAAAAAAAACCCCTGATGATTAGGGAGATTGAATGAGGTTGTCCAGACTAGTTAGAAGTAGAGATAAGACAAACCCAGATTTAGCTTGACACCTTTATACCTATCTGTATTTCCTTTTGCTGTTCTCTTCACTGCAGTTTGTCTATGTTTCATTGACAGCCTACCCTTAAGTTGTACTGTCTGCAGTCTGGCACAGTTCTCCCTTCTATCTTTGCTTTTTCATAGGAACTGGTGCCTGGCCCTGTTATACTCAGGCTGGGAGATAAGATTAAGCTATGCTTTCAGACCTAACATTCTTGTGAGAAAGGCATTAATCACCATTTAAATGAGAAGCATAATTTGACTGACTTTAAATTCAGGTTTGTAGATTAGCAAGATGCATTTTAACGGAGTGTTGATGAGTTAGAATTGTTAAATTTTGGAATTGGGCAGGACTCGATATATTTGACATACCAGCAGTTTTCAGACTGCTCCTCAGTGTCCTAAGAGTTCCCAGGTGGTACCTAGAGAAAGGGAGAAAGCTGAGGATACAAGGCTTTGATTTCTCTTTCTTGCTTTAAGTAAAGCACCTCCGCTTTTGTAGCTGTATTATACAAGGGAGCTTAAAAAAATGTGGGGAAATTCCATTGTCTTTTTTTTTTTTTTTGATACTTAACTAAGTTTAATGTACAGACTTGTTGGATGTATACACAGGTTAAGTTAGATGAGGTCAGGTGCTGTCTAGCGTAGTAACCCTATGAACAAAAAGAAGGAAACCCTGCACGGTCCTGCACCCTCCTCACAGTCATTCCCATGTTTGAGTCCATTGTTGCAACTACTGTATCAGCCATCTTTTTCGCTGGTCCTTAAATAAGTCATGATGTCCTTCTCTAGGGACTGGTTCTTCCTGATACCGTGTCCAAAGTATATGGACAAAGTCTTATCATCTTCACATCTAAGGAGCATTCTGGTTGTACTTCTTCCAAGAGAGATTGTGTTTGTTCTTCTGGTAGTCCATGGTGTATTCAGTATTCTTCACCAACACCATAATTCAAATGCATCAATTATTTCTCTGGTCTTCCTTCATAATTGTTCAGCTTTCACATGCATATGAATCAATTGAAAATACCATGGCTTGAGTCAAGTGTACCTTACTCCTCCAAATGACATCATTGCTTTTTAACACTATAAAGTGGTTTTTTGCAGCAGATTTGCCCAGTGCAATATGTTATTTTATTTATTTATTTTTAAATGCCTTATTGTGAACTATGTGATAGTTTACATGGGTGAACATTAGCTTTACAATCATCCTATCGTATTTCGTTTCAGTGCCATGGTAACAATACCTCCATGCATCATCAACCAACCAAAGGGTATACCATGCAAGCCTGCCCCCTGGTTGTCAGCACACAGCCCCTCTCCCTCTCTGGGTCCAGAGACCCCAGCCGCTCCACCCCTCCACATCATCGTCTCTTCCTCCATCTCTGGCGTCACTGTTTCTCTGGTTAGGTCCCACAGTCACTTTTCTCCCCTGATGGTCCCAGGGACCTCCACTCCTAGACTGTAAAGTCAATCACTCCCTTCCTTTTGCTACAAAATGTCTACCTTTACATTTCCAACCCTCACAGTCAGTCCTGATAGCAATTATTTACTATTGTACCACATGAGTGCCAGAAATATTGGTGATTCTACCCTCCTCTGCACCCCCTGGATCTAGGCTTCCTCTTGAAAGCTTGTAAACCAGTCACTTCTTGCCTTTGTAGTCCCCCATTTTGGGTAGCTAATGTCCAAGTTGCCCATCCCTGTCCACTCTGTGTATTAAGGGGGTAGGAATGATCCTCACTGTTAAGATTTGTTCCTCTTTTGAGTTACTGCATCCATAGGTATAGGTCAGATTGTATCAGATTACTCTTTTTTTTTTCCCTGTTTCTTCTAGTTGAGTTCTGATCATCCAGCCATTGAAGCCAGGTCAAGTGGGTATTATCTACAGTGTGGGTGTCTTTGTGCATATGTCCTGTCTTCATATCAACTGAATGCTTCACTCTCCACTCTAGTCCTCTGTGGCTGTGTCACTGACTCTGGGCCCAGGAATCCTCAGGTCTTGCCATACTGCTGGCCAACCAGGTCTCCATCCAAGTTTACAGGAGTCTGTTGAAAGTGGTAGGGCTTAGCTTGCAGCTTCATTGCTGTTTTTCCCTCACTTCCCCTTATTGGTAACCAACGTGGTCACCAGTGAGAGTGCATGTCTGCTTGTGTGTTCCTATTGAGTCTTAGTCTTGGAAGGGTGTTTTCCTTGAGGGGACCTGTTCACTTGCCTTGATGTCTCCCGGGCGAGCAACTTGCTTGTTCTTGTAGTAGTCAGTACGACTGTCATTATTGTTTTGTATTTTTCCTGTTGGTCTTTGTTTCAAGAAGTATCTTCTGTTTTTCTAGTCACTCCAGGCTGGTCTGCTTGTCCTTTCCAGTGGAAATTTCCCACCTCACAAGATTCTGGATAGGGTCCATTGTCTTTTAATTCTGTTATTCTGTGAATATTTTGAAACCCCCTTGTACGTTAGGGTGTCTGAGATTTTCTTTGAAGAAAAGGTTCTTGTGCTTGTGAAAAATATATATATCTTAAATAAAATGGTGTTCAAGAATCACCTCCTCTCATCTTACACAGATAGGTTTCCTGCGTGATGTATTTGCTGTGATCAGAGTCTCACTGTAATATTAGTTAGTTATTCTCTTTTCCTACCCACAGGTTTCTCTAATAAAGATGAAAGCTGTAGAAAAAAGGAATTAATTCTAAGTGAACTATAGTTCTATAGTTCAATTAACCATAATTTTGGGGAACATGAAATTGAACAAAACAGATACTATCTGTTCTATCTTAGAGCTCCTGATGAAGACAGACATTAAACAAATGCATCTGTGCTGTATGTTTTGAAGTAGAGATACTGGAAATAACATTATAACCAGTGTGGAAGCACATTGCAATTTTTGATCTCACATTCCAACTTTTTACTTGGCTCTTTGGTAGGTATAGTGATGGGTCTTAAAATTTTCAGGCGTTAAAGTTTATTTTATGCATCTGTAGAGTGCCCAGAACAGCTGTATTATCTTTAGATATGCTA